TCTAGAGGCAGAGGCCACTAGAGGTGTATTTAACCCTGCAATGTAAGCATTACCATTTCTACAAAACAGCAATGTTTACAGTGAAAGGTTAAAATGAAAGGGCCTCTTCATCCAGACCACCTCATTGAAATGAACCAGCCTGCGTGCATTTACTGGTCATTTAAGTAAAGAAAATATCGTAAATACTGGTAAGTTTCAGTTCCGCTCAATCAACAGCAATATTATGGAAAAGACCTGTAGCCTGTTGAGATTAAAGGGAACCTGTCAGGTTTAAAACTTAAGCAAAATCAAATTAATTAAAAGACTATTTACCCCCCCTCCACCCCCCCCAAATGTAAAAATGTTAAATTATTTAATGGAGCTTCGTCTGTTTTTTTTTTTAAGGATATTCACCTCCTCTACAAACACGTGCAGGTATAAAGTATCCCCTAGGCACTGCCTGTCTTTTGGAAAGTTCTTCACTCAGAATAGTGGTGTTGACACAAAGGGAGTGTTGACACATACAGAACACATGCGCCGTCCCAGTGCTGTAAAATTGACAATTGGGTAGGTGGGGTAAACTGAAGACAGGCATTGGCAGTGATTAAACGCTAACAGTATGACTGCTGGGGGGGAGGAAGAGGACATTATTAGCAATAAATTATTGGAAAATCTATACATTTGCCAGTGAAATTGCTAGTGCAATATATAGATGAAAATGCCTGGAGAATCTATTACTGAGTGTGCCAAATGAATGGGAGGGAGAAGGCAGCAGGGGAGGAGGCACAGGCGGCATTGGGGGGGAGAGAGACAGGACATGCAGCAGGTCCCTTATACTCGCTCCCCTGAGCCAGCAGCATCAGGACTCCAAGCAATCCACCCTCCTGGAAATGAAAGGTATGTTAACAGGAGGATGGCTGTCAATATACAAATTTATATTTATGTATTTTATGTCATATTGTGTGTCTTTCTGTGTCACAGTTTGTGTATCTGTGTCACAATGTGGTTGTCTGTTTGTGTGTGTTCCCTCTCTACAATTCCGCCACTGATTAGGACTCACTTTTCTTGGTCTGCTGGAGATTAGTGGGAATTTGCAGCTGAAATAGTTGCTCCCAAGACTGTAAGTATCAAAGGCGACATTGGGACCACAGACATCGTTAGGGGCTACCTTTGAAGGCTGAAGCCACGAAGTTGGACTCTTTAGCCCTGGAACTCTACAGTATATTAGTGTTGTTCTATTTTGAATTTTATATATAGCAGCTGCTTCTAAAAGGAAAGATCAGTAGGATAACCTCCAGCAGGCCACGTAAGGGGAGTGGATGATGTCCCCCAAGTGTCTGTGGGAAGGGGTGCTGGGGAATAAAACTTTTGTGCACACTCCTCTACTATTTAAGTGGTGGGATCCTCCTGAATACGAGGCTATGCTTTCATTGAGAACCTAGAGAGCATCAGCAGCACAATGGCTATGAGAGGATATAACTGAGAGTCAGGGGTAGCTCATGACTTATCCCCATCTCTCTGATATTTTAGGGCTCATCAAGTTTTCCATTGGGCTTAAATTCCAGATATGTCTGGATCCTACCAACACCCCTGACTTGGCCGTGTATGACCCAGTGCTCCACATTACAATGAAGTCCTCCCCTTTATTCTTAGACTACCGTATTAAACATCTACCTTTATACTACTCTAGAACACTACACTATCTCTAAATATTAAACGCTATACTATACTAATATTATCGCTAAACATTAACCTCTGCTGTGCCCTAACCAATAACTACAGAGGGAGGGAGTTGGTGACTAGTGACTACATTAACACTTACATTAACCCCAACCTAAACATATTATGTAATATAAAAAATACATAACAGTAAAGTGTGTACTAGAGGAATATTAAGCTATCTCAGGAGACATTAAGAAACCACTCAACCTTCAGTCTTCAGTATTTTATGATGTGCTTTTTTTTAGAACCTCTTGATTTTTTTTTACATTCTCTTCATTCCCATATTTTGTCATGTTCTCTTTGTCCCCAGAGATGGTCATATTTGAAAAATGACAAATGTCTGTATCGACGAAACTTTGTACCATTGCCAAAATCAGTGACCCTACAATGAGCCACGGAACCATTTTAGGCATTTGATGTTTTAGCCATTTGACTACCTTTTGTTGGCTGTTGATGATCTTAATGCTGCAATAAACACAAAACCATGTAGACATCCACAAGCTAAAAAGTGGTAAACTTCACTTTTCCAGGAAAAGTCCCTAAAGTACGTAGTGTTAAGTAGTCTTTTGGACAGTAGTGAAACCATAAACTGAAGGAGGGTATGATGATGGGAAGACAGAGATTAATAGCACTAAATTGTAATGTCAAGTTTTTCCTTTGGAGACCAGACTTCTTACTCTGCACAGGCGTGTTAAACATAGAGTTATGATGTAGACATTTCCATACAATCCAAAATACCTAAACTAACTTGGGAAATCATTAGCAGTTTTAGATTTTCTACATCTGTTTTTCTTGCTAAATTAGGATTTTTAAGTTATATGACCAATTTAAATATTTTAGAAAGCATTTCTTGATGTGCACATGACTTTGAAATAAATCAGTCTCTTCTAGAGACCAGCATTTTTGCATTTATTCATAGAAAAGTGACACTATTCAAATAGTCTCTACTATCCAGTTCCCAATGTATACTAATCATATAGTTTATGCAGAATAGTCTAATTGATATAGCGCTTTGCAAAACATACACTAATTCAAATTTTTAAGAGGAATTTAAATACGTTGTTATTATTGTTGTTTTATGAAGCATGGACTGGCTATTCTGTTTTCTGTATATTTGTGGTTCATAAATGTCTATAGAGCTGTGAAATCAAGGGTCACATATTGATTGTACTTTGGCAATGTATAAAAAAAAGCAATTCAAAACAGTTATAATTTATGTTTCAGCAATTTCAGTAACTTATTTGAAACAGTACAGTATTCCAATGAAAGAGTGCTACACAATTAAAGTGAATCTGTCATGACCAGGGCCAGACTAGCCCATGTCGATACTGGAAAATTTCCCGGTGGGTCGCAGCACCTGGGGGCTGCACAACTGTAACTACCTATAGAGAGGGAGTCCTGTGGCCATTTTCAATAATATCACGTGCACCGGCCGCATGTAACTGCCGCTGGGTGGCCGGTCCGGTGGTACACTCTATGGGGGTTACCTTGCGGCTGGCAGCCCCATCTCATATGGTGTATGACTGCTGTCAGTATCAGTGAGTGGGCCGTGCGGCCGCCTAGCCGGTCTGGCTGCACACTCACTCATACTGACAGCAGTACAGCTGTCAGCACAGGAGGACTGAGGGAGGGGGCAGAGCTAACTACCATGCTCCCTCGAGGATTCCACAATTCCGAGCATCTACACATCATAGAGTAGTGATTACTCTATAATGTGTCCATGCTGGGAATTATGGGAACCACAAGGGAGCAGGGGCGGACTAACCACTCGGGTACATCGGTCATGGACCGAGGGCCTGATACAGCCAGGGGCCCGGCCACACTATGCTCCAGCTGGAGAGATCAGAGATCTCTCCAACTGGAACAAAAAATAATAAAATAATACTATTTCATTGATAGGTTGTGGGGCCCCTGATGGAGCGCAGGACCCCCACAACCTACCACTCTGAAAGTAACTCCCATCCTCAAATGAGACTCGTCAGCTTTACCAGCTCTCTCTGCCAGGTCTCCTTCCTGTCCCATGCGGCTCTGTGTGATGGGAGAGGCGGGGCCGGGAAGTGACATCACTTCCTGTTTACTCCTTTCACATAGAGTCCGATCAGCGGGAATGAGCAGCAGCCTGGGAGAGAAGACTAAGCAGAGAGAAAGGTAGGCACTAGTCACCCTCCCTCACTGTGTCATTAGTCACCACCCCTCACTGTGTCACTAGTCACCCCCTTCACTGTGTCACTAGTCACCCCCTTACTGTGTCACTAGTCACCCCCACACTGTGTCACTAGTCACCCCCCCTCACTGTGTCACTAGTCACCCCCTCCCTCACTGTGTCACTAGTCACTCCTCCCTCTGTCACTAGTCACCCCCTCCCTCACTCTGTCACTAGTCATTCCTCCCTCTGTCACTCCCTAACTCTGTCACTGTCACCCCCTTCCTCCCTCTGTCACTCCCAGCCTCTGTCTCTAGTCACCCCATCCCTCCCTCTGTCACTAGTCTCCCTCTGTCACTAGTCACCCCCTCCCTCTGTCACGAGTCACGTCCTCCCTCTGTCACTGTGTCACCCCCTCCCTTACTCTGTCACTGTGTCACTCCCTCCCTCCCTCACTCTCTCACTAGTCACCCCATCCCTCCCTCTGTCACTAGTCACTCCCTCCCTAACTCTGTCACTGTGTCACCCCCTCTGTCACTAGTAACCCCCTCCCTCACTCTGTCACTAGCCACCCTCACTTTGTCACTAGTCACCCCTTCCCTCCCTTACTCTGTCGCTAGTCACCCCTTCCCTCACTTACTCTGTCACTAGTCACCCCCTCCCTCACTCTGTCACTAGTCACCCCCTCGCTCTGTCACTAGTCACCCCCTCACTCTGTCACTAGTCACCCACTCTGTCACTGGTCATCCCCTCCCTCACTCTGTCACAAGTCACCCCCTCCCTCTGTCACTAGTCACCCACTCTGTCACTGGTTATCCCCTCCCTCACTCTGTCACTAGTCACCCACTCACTCTAGTGACAGAGTGATGGAGGGGGTGACTAGTGACAGAGTGAGGGAGTGACTAGTGACAGAGTGAGGGATAGGGTGACACAGTGACAGAGGGAGGGGGTGACTAGTGACAGAGTTAGGGAGGGAGTGACTAGTGACAGAGTTATGGAGGGAGTGACTAGTGACAGAGGGAGGGATGGGGTGACACAGTGACAGAGGGAGGGGGTGACTAGTGACAGAGTTAGGGAGGGGGTGATTAGTGACAGAGTTAGGGAGGGAGTGACTAGTGACAGAGTGACGGGGTGACTAGTGACAGAGTGAGGGGGTGACTAGTGACAGTGTGAGGGAGGGGGTGACTAGTGACAGAGGGAGGGATGGGGTGACTAGTCACAGTGTTACCCCTCCCTCTGTCACTAGTCATCCCCTCCATCATTCTGTCACTAGTCACCCCCTCCCTAACTAGTCACCCCCCTCTGTCACTAGTCACCCCCTCCCTCTGTCACTAGTCATCCCTCCCTCACTCTGTCACTAGTCACTCATTCCCTCCCTTACTCTGTCACTAGTCACCCCCTCCCTCACTCTGTCACTAGTCACCCCCTCCCTCTCTCTGTCACTACTCACACTCTCCCTCACTCTATCACTAGAGTGATGGGGTGACTAGTGACACAGTGAGGGGATGACTGGTGACAGAGTGAGAGGATGACTGGTGACAGAGTGAGGGGATGACTAGTGACAGAGTGAGAGGGGGTGACTAGTGACAGAGTGAGGGATGGAGGGGGTGACTATTGACAGAGGGAGGGAGGAAGTAGTGACAAAGGGAGGTGGTGACTAGTGACAGAGTGAGGGAGGTGGTGACTAGTGACAGAGTGACTGTAACTAGTCACCCCATCCCTCCCTCTGTCACTTGTCACCACCTCCCTCACTCTATCACTAGTCACCACCTCCCTCACTCTGTCAATAGTCACCCACTCTGTCACTGGTCATCCCCTTCCTCGCTCTGTCACTAGTCAACCCTCCCTCTGTCACTAGTCACCCACTCTGTCACTGATCATCCCCTCCCTCACTCTGTCACTAGTCACCCACTCACTCTAGTGACAGAGTGATGGAGGGGGTGACTAGTGACAGAGGGAGGGGGTGACTAGTGACAGAGTTAGGGAGGGAGTGACTAGTGACAGAGGTAGGGATGGTGTGACACAGTGACAGAGGGAGGGGGTGACTAGTGACAGAGTGCAGGAGTGGGTGACTAGTGACAGAGTGAGGGGGTGACTAGTGACAGAGTGA